TCACCCCAACATCTGACTCCCGAGTCTTTATTGGTAGGCAGATCGATAGAGACTTAGTTAAAAACTACATTTGGTGGCAGCGGCAGAGCCGGTGCCAACAGACTGGAAATCCCACCATGCCATAGTCTGAGCAGCAGGGTGCTGACTGCAGGGCCACTGGGCCACAGATGGTAGCTTAGACATCAGTAGATTCAGGTGTAGCCACTTACCCACTGGAAAAACAACAGGAGGTGAGCTCTAAGGCAGATTTTTTTAAAGGTTATATTCCTTTATAATATTCCACTATATTCTCAGATCACTGGCTTTCTGAATAAACACCACCTAATAGTATTTAGATTGCTTTCTATAGTACAGAGCACAAACATGTCCTTACGATATAGACTATGAAACGGACCAGCAAGATGGCTTAGCGGGTAAGGGTGCATGCTGCCAAGCCTGACAACCTGTGATCAGTTCTCAGCCATCTCCTGAAAGTTGTCTTCTGACGATCACATTTGCTAGCTGTGGCACAGGCGTGTCCTCTGTACATGAGCACACACGATAAATAAACAAGCAGGGGGGTGGGGGCATCTCTCTGTGCTGGAGAGGTGGCTCAGTGATTAGGAGCATTTACTGTTCTTGTAGAGGAACCAAGTACCCACATCAGGCATGTACTACAACAACTGTAACTATAGTTCCGGGGAGTTTGGTGCCCCTGGCCTCTGGAACTCACACAGACACACACACATGCACATAAAATTGAAAATTAAATACATCTTAAATAAAAATAACAAGTGACCCTCTCTATTCTCATCTAATCAGTCTGAAGTTAGGACCAAGGGCAGGTCCGTACCAGCCCCATCCCCACCATTTCCCACAGTGCTCTCTGGCTTGGAAGATGTTTTGTTTCCAACAGTTTTTTTTTTTAATATTTTATGTATATAGGTGTTTTGCCATCATGTATATATGTACACTATATGTATGTATGCCTGGTACTCACAGAGGCCAGAACAGGCATCAGCTCCTCTGGCACCAGCATTATAGATGGTAGTGAGCTACCATTTGGGTGCTGGGAATCAATTGTTCAATGTTCTTAATCCATGAGCCATATCTCTAGCCCCTAAAAGATGTGTTTTTAACAGTCCTTGAGGTCAGCTCCTGGGCTAGCTATGGAGCTGGGAGAGCAGAGGTAAAGGATGCTCAAATATGCAGGAAGAGAGCATGGAGGCCAGGTCTCAGACCCAATGCTCCATTATATAAATAAGCATTGGTAACATCTCCTGTACTCCCCTGAAAGGATGATCATAAATAATATGCCTGCTCACATGATTAATTTCTTTAAATTATAATACAATACCCCAGATGTACTAGGGAGAAGAAATAAAAAGAAAACAATTTATTACCAAACAGCGCATATTTCAAAATGTCAGGGGCCGGGCCCTACGGCCCTAGAAAATGTAATGAAGTGTCAAGCACTTGCCCCACTTATAATGAGTTAGCCACAGGAAGTTAGAACAGGAAACATTGAGAAATAAAGACATGTTGAAATACACTATAAAAAGCTAGAGTAGATATCACTTTAATTGTGTGTGTGTTGGTTTGTTTTTCAAACTGCAATAACTACTTGCTTGGATACTCTACACAAGGGAACTCATGTTCTGGGCTGAGGTCAGTGGGGTTTCAAGATGACATGGTCCAGCCTGGCAAGTAGCAGCAGTGCCCACCAGTCACTGTGGAATCGAGACATGTGCCCTCATGCTGGGAAGATGGCTCAGTGCCCGAAGGCTCTTGCAGTCAAACAAGATGACCTGTGGTGTATCCCGGGAGCCTCCATGGTGGAAGGAGAGAACTGAGCCTTGGAAACTGTCCTCTGCCTTCTACAGCAGGCCATGATATGCATGTGCTCACACACACATACACACACACACAAATAAATAAGCATACTCTTTATGCCCTCTGTTACCAGAGCCACAAGAACAAACTCCCCTCCCATAACCATTCCCTTAATGTTTTGACTACTACTGCCCTTCTTTCTTACATATCTGTATTATATAAACATTTGCTCAGACTCTATACAAACTTTGCAAGCAAAAAAGGGAGCCATTTTGAAAAACGGCTCAGAGTTCCCTTTAGCATGAGTGTTTGCTCTGGTCCCTTGAAGAATTATGCAAGTCTGAGAAGGGGAAACGAACCATGGATTCACTTTTGCAAGCTCCAAGCAAGACAAAGCCATGGTTTAGGGGACACACCTTGCCACACAGCTGGCCCAAGGCTCCAGCTCAGCTCAGCTCAGCTCAGCCCTGCCTGCACCGCCGCCCGGTGGCCAAGGGCGGTACTGCGTCCCGGGTGGATTTTGTGTGGGGGGAGGCATGCGGGTCCAAAGAACTGCACTATTGGTCCTTAAAAGTTGCACCACTGTCACTGTTGGTGGGACTGAGACACCAACCCAGTCACAAAACCTTCGACCTACAATCTATCCTGCCTACTGGGGGGGGGGGGGGCGGGGAAGGGAGGAGTCGTTCTTATGGGAATGGACAACCAATTACAGGGCTAATTTGAGGCCCACACCACGAAAGGGAGCCCGTGCTTGGCATTGCCTGGAGGAACCGAAAGCTGAACAGCCCAGAGACCTAGGATAGAAAAAAAAAAATCAATAAAATGATTCCTAACGATATTCTGCTAAACTCATAGATCAGTGCCTAGCCCAATCATCAGAGAGGCTTCTTCCAGCAGCTGGTGGGAGCAGATGCAGAGACCCACAGTCAAAAATGTCAGGCACTGAGAAAGCCCAAATTGGAGGTCCATCAGGTCCCTTCCCTCGGAGCTTGGAAGACCCCACGGAAGAAGGGGAGGAGGAATTGTAGGAGCCAGAGCGGTGGGAGAACACAGAACCAACTCATAGGGCTCATAGGCGCTCACAGACTGAAGCAGTGATCACGGAGAGGAGCCTGCACGGGTCTGTGCTAGGTCATGTATACGTTATGGTTGTTAGCTTGGTGGTTTTTTGTTTTGTTTTGGGTTTCTTTGTTTCTTTGTTTGTTTTTTTCGAGACAGGGTTTCTCTGCAGAGCCCTGGCTGTCCTGGAACTCACTCTGTAGACCAGGCTGGCCTCCAACTCAGAAATCCACCTCCCTTTGCTTCCCGAGTGCTGGAATTAAAGGCAAGGGCCACCACCGCCCAGTTTAGCTTGATGTTTTTGTGGGACTCCTAACAGTGGGAGTGGGGGTGTCTCTGACTCCCTTGCCTACCCTTGGGACCCTTTTCCTCCTGCTGGGTTGCCTGGCTCAGCCCTAATGTAAGGGTTTGTGCCTAGTCTTGTTATAACTTGTTTTGCCGTCTTTGGTTGACATTCCTGGGAGGCCTGCTCTTTTCAGAAGGGAAAGAGAGTAGTGGGTCTCGGGGAGAGGGGAGGGCAGAGGGGAGACTAGGAGGATTGGAGGGAGGGGAAACTGCGGTTGGGATGGATTGTATGAGAGAAGAATAAAAAAAGAAAGAAAAGAAAAGTACATTTAAAAAAAAAAAAAGCCAGTACCAGTGAACTCTTCAGCTGTGTGGAGAAGCCTGTGGCTCTCCCTCTCAAAATAATGGTTCATACTCATAGGAAACAGGGATATGTGTTTAAAAATAAGGTTCACAAGATGGCTAGGAGGGTGCGGGGGGGCGTAAAAAGCGCTTTCCACACAAGCCTGGTGACCTCAGTTGGATTCTTGGAAGACACGAAAAGGTGGAAAGTGGATTCTACAAAGCTTCCCTCTGAAAATATAATTTAAATTTTTTAGTAAACTAAAAATAGAGGCCTGGAGAGATGGTTTAGCAGTTAAGAGCACATGCTGTTCTCCCAGTACCCTGGTTTAAGTCTCAGCATCCAAATAGCTGCTCACAGCCACCTGTAACTTTAGCTCCTGGAGATCCAGCGCCCTCTCCTGGCCTCTGTGGGCATTGCACACACATGGTGCACAAACATCAATTCAGGAAAACATCCACACACATTAAAAAATAAAATGAGGGGCTGGAGAGATGGCTCGGAGGTTAAGAGCACCCACTGCTCTTCCAGAGGTCCTAAGTTCAATTCCCAGCACCCACATGGTGGCTCACAACCATCTGTAATGAGATCTGGCACCCCTCTTCTGTATACATAATAAATAAATCTTTAAAAAAAATAAATAATAAAATGAAGATAGTGTGTGTAGGGGGAGTTGAAGGGGTGGGGGGATGAGAGGGTACATGCCTTTAATCCCAGCACTCAGGAGGCAGAAGCAGGCAGATCTCAGTGAGTTCAAAGTCAGTCTTGACTACAGAGCGAGTTCCAAGACAGCCAGAGTTGCACAGAGAAACCTTGTCTTGAAAAATCAAAATAATAATAATAATAATAATAATAATAATAATAATAAATTAAATGGAAATAATAAACTGATATTAAAATACTAAAAATAAGGGGATAGTTTTAAACATGTCATCAATTATATACTAGTCAATAAATATGCTTCCATATTTAGTACTTGAATACTCAGATCTAGGGGCAGGTCTAAAAACTAATAATTTTCCAAACAATGAGGAATATGTGGATATTTTGTGATATCAGCAACAACTGTTTGCTCCAGGGTTTGTGATTTTTTTTTTTTAATAGTAACAGTGGCAGGTTCTGCACACCTCTGGGAATTCTTAAAAGAAGGAAAAACAATCTTTTAGGGACTCCTAAACGCCACGATGCAAGTTTTTCCCATTGGAGCCCGCCGACTCCTGAATTGCGCCAACAGAGCTGCGGTGCTCAGATCACAGATTAGGGTTAAGCAGGAGCTGGAGTTTCAGAAAAGAGTTTGTGCGGGTCTGCAGACTGCAGAACTGACACAGGGTAACAATAGGAAAAGCCGACCTCTGAGACTGGACTAGGCAACGTGACGCGGGCCCCTCCTCTCCCTTCCTGGTCCCAGCCTGGGGTTTCTGCAGGAAGCTAAAGCCCCGTGTGGCCCCAAGGAGCTGGCAATTGCAGGCATCTGCTCCCACGGTGTCCATCACCCACCATGCGGCCTCTAGTCCTGCTGTGGAGCTGCCTGGTGCTCCCAGGTGAGGGGGATGGAGGTGGCAGGGATGGAGGGGCATGCACGTGCAGGAGGCCTGAGCTCACCCTTCTGGTCTACAGAGTTGTCTTTCCCTACACGCCATGAGGAAGCGGCTTTGCTTGTGCATTACTACCCAGCTAAGCCATCCTCACCCGGCAGCCCTGGGTGCGACGCCTGCTGTTTTTGAGCTCCGACCCAGGGGTCTTCACGCATGTTTGCAGCCTCTGCATGGCTGTGCAGGTGTGAAGAGAGCGAGCGGAGCCTCTCTGATCACAAAGACGCATCCATTTACCCTGTGAACTCAGCTAACTTCGTTGGATTTCTACTAAACTGCTTTCCTTTCTTTGCTTCCATTTTTTTATTTTTCAATTTTTATTTATTGTTGTTATTGTGTGTTGTTATTGCATATAAATATGCAAATATATGTACACACACATATATGTTAGTTTAGTTAGTTCATTGCAAGAGGGCAAAGGGCTGAAGAATAACTAGATTGCCACCTACAGGGATGCTTTCTTTGCTCTTATCAATTTTATCTTTTATTTCTTTTCTGGGGCGCTCAGAGAAGGGGTGGGTGGAACCTGGGCACTGGAGCATGCTAAGTGAGCTCTCTATGGCTAAGCTGTATCCCCAGCCCCCTTCCCATTGTTTCCTTCAGATAGACCAGCCTTGAACTTGCTCTGATCCCAAGTAGCTGTGATCACAAGAGCGCCCACCATGCTGGGCTTCCTTTACCTTTTAAGACCGAAAAATCAGGATGCATCTTATAACTGATGTCGGTTGCTCGGTTGGCTGTGTTTGTTTGTTTTTCCCTTAATAATATATAAAATCAACTCACACTGTTTTTTAGGTTTTTTTATTATATGTGTTCTTATGTGTGTGAGAGCACATATTGAGCATGCACTGGTACACATGCTTCAGCACACGTAAGGAGGTCAGTGTACAACTTTTGGTGTCTGTGCTCGCCTTCTTGAGTCTTAGACTCACATTGTCAGGTTTAGCAAGTGTCTTTACCCCTTGAGCCATCCGGCCAGCCTGGACATGTCTCTCAAATGCAGCGAAGGAGAATGTCATTATCCTCTATAAGCGAGAAAACTTAGCTGGGGCAAGCAACTTGCCCAGCATCACAAAGCTACTGAACGCCAATGCTGGGACTCAGACTCCCGGCTGTCCGAGTCTACGGCACTTGCTCTATCCCTTTCAACTAATGGGGTTTAGGGAAAGAGTGGCGGGTTTGTCTTAAGGTTCTCCAGAGGAAGGGAGAACCCCGGGGCTTTACGGGGCTGCCTCGGAAGGTCTGACAAGAAAACCTCCCTTCCTCCCGTGAAATGGAAACTTCTGGTCTTCGCCTGGTCTTTCCTTAGATCCATGGAAATCCCACCTCCATTTGTGCTGTGTTTTCAGGTTATGAAGCCCTGAAGGGTCCGAAGGAGGTCAGTGGATTCGAAGGTGACAAGGTGTCCCTGCGGTGCACCTATGAGAAGGTGGTGAGGACACACAGGAAGTACTGGTGCCGGCAGGGTGGCATCATGGTGTCCCGCTGCACTGACATTGTCTACACAAGTCAGAACCAGGAGGTGGCACAGGGCAGGATGTCCATCCGAGACAACCCCCGAGAGCTCTCGATGACGGTGACCATGAGGGACCTTACCCTGAAGGATGCGGGGAAGTACTGGTGCGGGATTGACCGACTGGGTTTCGATGAGGCTTTTGAGGTCTCTCTCATTGTCTTTCCAGGTAATGAATGACTCTCCTCCCCCTGCCTGGGTGGCAGGGGTTATAGAGGAGACAAGGATGGGTAGGAGGATCTGAACCATAGATTCAGTTTCCTCATTACAGAAGGGGGCAGTCTTGGTACCAACCTCATCAGGCTTCTCCAGGACTTGGGAATCAGTAAAGACACCTGCTGAGCACTGGGGACAACTCAGAGAAGCCTTAGTGTCCCTTTGCTCTGGCAAGTCTCCCTGTTAGGACTTCATAGGGCAAAGTGCAGCCACGCCTGTCACTCTTGGCCTAGATGTACTGGGGGAGGCTGCCACAGGATGGAGACAAGATGGCCATCTCAGGGGACAAGGAAGGACCTGCGTCTTCCCTGCGTCACGAATGCTCCCACAGCTTTCTGAGCCCAGGCCAACCATCGCTGCACCCCAGGCCCAGCCTGCAGTGTTCCCCAAGTCATGCACTGGCCTCACTGTGCTCATGGTCTCTGTACATCGTTTTCACCTTCTATATGGAGAACCCAGGCAAGGGAAGCCAGAGGAGGCCAGAGTCCAGACAGCCAGTGAGAGCTGGGTCTGTCTGAAGCACACTTCACACGAAGACACTCCAAGACACTCAGTGACTGGCCTAAGGTTGAGGCAGGAAATAGAGGATTCAGACGCAGATCACTGCCACCTTTATCTCTGTTCGAAAGACGGGCCCAGGAGCCAGGACCCATCCTAAGCCCAGATCTGTCCTCAAAGCCCATTCTCTGTCACCCCTGGGTCTCTATGACAATTCAGGGAAATCAAAGTAAACTAACCAAACAGTGACAGCAGCACCAAAGCCTCGCTGATGAGACTGGAGGGTGTGACTCGGATGTAGAGCATCTGCCTGCTGGGGGTGAGACCCTGGCTGCCTCTCTGATGCCACAGAAATAGAGCAACACTCGCTGAGCAGGGGTTCTCTGTTGTTTGGAAGGTTCTCCAGTCTCTTCCAGTTCTTATCCGTGCACATCCTTTTTTGCCTAATTGTGAGTAGCTCTACTAATGAGGCAGTTCCATGGAGTTTATCTGATAACCAAAGATGTTTATTTGGGGTTAACTTACAACAAGCAAAAGGGGGTTGGTCTCGGGGTCCAGGAGGGGTGAGGTGCAGTCCAACCCTGTTCTCTGGAGACTATGCCTTGGTCCTCAGTACCAGCACCCAGCGTCCAAGACCATGAGGTAGCCAAGAGAGCCAGCATGTACACATTCCAGGTCTTAAGGGATCCCCCTTTGGCCACACTCGGGGGTGGGGGACAGGTACCTAGCAGTTACCTACTGCCTGCTAGGGGTGGTGGTGCTTCGGGGGTAAAGCCCAGACAACCATCCTTACACACTATCCTCTTACTTATTTAATTTTATTTTATGTGCATTGGTGTGAGGGTGTCGGATCTCCTGGAACTGGAGTTACAGACAGTTGTGAGCTGCTCTGTGGTTGCTGGGAATTGAACCCAGGTCCTCTGGAAGAGAAGCCAGTGCTCTTAACCGCTGAGCCACCTCTGCAGCCCAATTAGCTCTATCTTTATTTCATTTATTTACTTGGCTTTTTAGATGGTGTCTCACTATGTAGCTCTGACTGGCCTCGAACTCACAGAGACCCACCTGCCTCTGCCTCCTGAGTGCTGGGACTAAGGTCCTGTGCCACCGCACCCAGCCTAGTGTTCTCTAGTTTTGAGACTCTCTTGGGTCTTGTTCTTGCCCTGGGCTCTAGCCACCTCTCCGAGGTTTGTGATCCACGCGGTTTCACCCTTTCATGTCAGAGCTGGTTGGCTTCTGTTGACAGTTCATCCTGCCAATGATGAGGGCTGTGTAGGTGGGTCTGTAATATTTATAGGTTTCTATGGTAGCAACACTCCTTGCAAGGCCAGTTTCTATCTGCCAATCATTTAACAACCAGCTCCCGGAATTCCTGAAAGGTTAACAGGCCAGAGTGAACTAACGTCTCCAGGGTCAAACGAGGCTGAGCATACCCACTATCACCTCCCTTATTCCTCGTCTCCTGGAAGCCCCAGGCAATGGATAGAGACTTAGAAACACACAAAGTAGAAGCCGCTCCCTATTTACAGAAGATTTAGTCGTCTGCTTAGAAAAAACACAAGCAAAGGGCAGAGCGCACGAATAGAGAATGGAGAGCAATCCCGGAATGTCCTGGTTAGGTGTGGTCAGCAAAGTCTCAGGGATGCTGGCCCTTGAGGAATCCCAGCCCCATGGGAGATCCTGCAAAGCCATAGTTGTAGTCAAAGTGAGCACTAGCTCCCCTGGAGGCAAACATAGGATATTGGGGTACACAAAGGAAAAGGGGAATTCCTCCACATTGCTGGGACTTAACTTATGAGCTGATGATGGAAGACGGGAGGGGGGGGGGCAGGGGTGATTGGGGGCATTAGGCAGAGATGTAAGAGAATGGTGTCACAGAGGAGCGACATGGCAGAGGCACAGCAGTAGACAGGCTGACCCTGAACACGCGCCTCTGCGTGGCTCAGTGAGTTCCACACGGGGAAGAGGTAACTTGGAGAGGATGATGTGAAGTCTGAGAGGTACACTAAGTAAGCAGATGGCGTTTCGGCTCACGGCTGAAATGCGGAGTCACTGACTGTGTCCCAAGCAGGAGGTGATAGGATCCAAGGTGTGTTTTAGAAATACAGGTGTCCATGCAAAGGGTGGCATGAAAGAAGGCTGGGGCAGGGGACACAGAAGACCTGCTCCAATGAGAAACCAATAAGGACAGCAGGTAGGGAAGAAGATCTGGGATCCACTGGGATCTTCCGGTCATGGCCTCTGACTGACTCAGAGAGGACAATGATGGCATCTACTGAGGATGAGGGGCCCACACTGCGGCGGCGGGGGTGGCAGTGTCTGCCTCCCCTAAGAGCACCCTCTCCCTTCCCTCTAGGAAAAAGGGGCAGTCCCATCCCCACTGGCACCTGCTGTCCTCCCTCCCCCATCCCTTCCTTCCAGCCTCTTCCAGCTACAAGGAGCCTGCAGCCCAAGGCAAAAGCCTGGCAGACTCAGCTCCCAGAACCGAGTGAGTCAATGGCTTAGGGAAGAAACCATTTCCTAAACCTGCCCCTTCTCCATTTCAGGAAACACACAGGGAGGGCCACCCAGGTGTTCCCAACAACCTCAGAAGCCAGAATGGCTCAGAGAGACTGGGGCACTGGCTCAGGGTCTCATGGGAAGCAGCTACAGCTGGCCCCAAAGCTCTTCCTCTGGGGGTGAGCCAGACATTGACCCTGACCTTAGGCCTGTTTTTACCACTGACCCCTGGCCAGCCTTCAGCAGCTAAAGGAGGTTAGGCCTTACTGAGGCACAGGGGTCAAGAGGCCGCGCTGGGCAGACAGAGAGAAGAGGTGACCCTGGCCTGGACTAAGAGGAGGGGCAGGAAAGTGTCTATGGAGTAGTGTAGGACAAGGCCTTAGGGGTAGGGTCCTCTTACAGAACAGACTATGGATGGATGTGCCTGACCCGGGTGTCTTCTTGCTCAAAAGGCTTCACTTGGGCCTCTGCTTGCCTCCTGGGGAGTGTTTTAGTTGAGGATGTCCTGAGAGATTGGGAAGGTTCACATACATTTAAAGGTCAGTCTGGGTGGGGCTCAAGGGCCAGAGAAGGTGCTGAGGTATTGTTTTTGGACTTATAGCTTTTCCGGGTCTCCAACCGACAGTCGTCACAGCCAAGCAGGGGAAGACAGGGGTTGAGGCCCCTGGGTTCACCGAGGCGGCCCTGGCCCGGTCTGCAGGAACCTCCCGGGTTCTCCCAGGAACCTCTCCATATGCTGGGAGTTCTCCTCACACAGCGTCCCCAGCCTGGTCTGCAGGAACCTCCCCTCCCCCGGGAACCTCTCCATATGCTGGGAGCTCTCCTCATACAGCGACCTCTCCTCATGCAGGGAGCTCCCGCCCAGCCATCTGGCTGCCCCCCACCACACCAAAGGACTCCAAGGCTATAGTCAGCGGGGTCTCCAAGTCCAGGTGAGTCCAGGGGACCTGAAGTCACCCGACAACCTTAAGACTCTACATCCTTTCCTCCAGGCAGGCACTTCCTCTGGTTGTGGCCACAGCCTGCGGCTCAGAAGGCAAATTCAGGCTTCATTCCCCTTGGTCCCAGAATTCATCTCTCCTCTTGCTCAGGCCACCCCAGCTCAAGGGTTTCCCTGTATACTTCGCCCTGAGCCCTGTGCTGCGTGAAAATGTGAAAGCCTTTCACCAACTTTTTCTTTCCATAGCTGGACCCCAGCCTGCAGCAAAGGGTTCTGGGCTTCTACCTCCTGCCAGTTCCTGACTTGCAGGTCCCCACTAGCAGGTTCAGACGAGGCTGAAAGTATCTGGTGGGGCTGGAGTACCCCAGGCAGAGCACACACTGATGGGCTCTGAGACACCGGCCCCTCATCAAACCGGTGCTGGTGACACGGCTCCAGGCCAGGGAGTCTCCCCATTTCTTGCCAAATGTAGAGGAACAGGTCTGTAATTCCAACTACTCAAAAGGCTGAGATAGGAAGGCCACAAGTTCAAGGCCGGGCTGGGTAAAAAAGGGTATTTTTAGACCTCGTCTAAAAATAAAAAGTAGGGCTCAGTGGGTAAAGTGCTTGGCATGTAAGCCTGATGGTCTGAGTTTGGCCCCCAGAGCCCACAAAAGGGAAGAGAGAGAGAACGGACTCCACAGAGTTGTTCTGTAACTTCAGCATGCATACCAGGGCACACTCTCCCTCCCCCAACCATACACTCAATACTAATACTAACAAATAACTTTTGAAGAGAGAAAGGTAGGACATAAAGCTCCACAGGAGAGTGATTGCCCAGCATGAATGAGGTCCTAGGCTCAATCCTAGCACCCCAGTTTTCCCAGCATAACACGGGGCCATCTCTGCTTAGTGAACTGAATTGTTTAACAGCAAAGGTAGCTAGGTACTAAGATTGATGCTTCGTGGGAGGAGTATTTAATTTGAGGTAAGGTCTCTCATGTAGCTCAGGCTAGCCTCCAGCTCCCTATGTAGCCAAGGACGACCTTAAACCCCTGATCTTCCTGCCTTCACTTCCAAAGTGCAAGGATTACAATCTTGAATCACCTTACCTGGCTTTGAACTCAGTATCTTTTTTCTTTTCTTTCCTTTTTAATTTATTCACTTATTTTTATGTGCATTGGTGTTTTGCCTGCATGTGTATGCCTGTGTAAGGATGTCAGGAACTATAGTTATAGACACTTGTGAGCCATCAGTGGGTGCTGGGAATTGAACCCAGGTCCTCTGGAAGAGCAATCAGTGCTCTTAACCTCTGAGCTCAGTATCTCAAACATCCCAACTTGTTTGATCCTCACAGCCCTGCTACTCGGGAGGTGAAATTGGTGGTCTGGAAGGTTGTTAAGTCACTTACTCAAAGTGATATGTCCCTAAAGTGTCAAGAACAGGGTTCGAACCCAGCAAGCCTGGATTCAGGGTCTGAGCGTCCTGCCAGTCTTGGTCTGGTAGAATTAGCCATCAGGCTAGAAGCTGGCTTTCTCAGCGTGTGCTTGGGGTTCAAGGACATAGATGGCTGATCTGGTCACAGCCACCAGGCTCCTTTCATCTCTCCTCCAGTGTGTCCATCCCGGTGGTCCGCATGTTGGCCCCTGTCTGGGTCCTCTTGTCCCTTGTGCTGGCTACCGTTCTGATTGCCTTTGGCAGCCACATGCTCCGGTGGAGAAAGAAAGGTAAGTGATTGAGGAGGTGGGAGGTAGCTCGTGCACCCCTGTGACACTTCAGCAACCTTGGAAAGATTGGGCCTCAGTGGGTCTGTCTGACAACCGTACTGTTCGCTGTGTGTACCGGTGCACCCCTTTAATCCCAGCACTCGGGAGGCAGAGAGAGGCAGGAGGATCTCTGAGTTCAAGGCCAGCCTGATCTACAGAGCCAGGTCCAGGACAGCCAGGGAGACACAGAGACTCCCTGGCTCAAAAAAAAACAAAAGAAAACAACCTAGTCGTTCCCTTCTGAGGAGCTGTGAAGCAGCCAGCCCTGCAAAGACCAATTCAGCTGGGGAATGGGAGTTTTTTAATACGAAAGTTAAAAGAGCCGGGACTGAAGCATATACCTGTTTTCCCAGCACTTGGAAGGTGGAGAAAGGAGGTCAGGAGCCCAAGGACAGTCGTGGATACATAAGGACTTCAGTACCAGCCTGGCCTTGTGTCTAGACAAACAAGTGAGCAAACAGAACAAACGAGCTAGCAAAGTTAATTTTAACAATAACAATCCAATTTCATTCCATTCAATAGACCTGAAACATGATCAACTCAACGTGGAACTAATATTAAAATACTAAGGAATGCTGGACATTGTAGCGTAAGCCCCATAGTCTCAGCCACTCAGACTGAGGCAGGAGTTGAGTCCAGGAATTTGAAAGCAGCCTGAGCAATATAGCCAGACCCCATCTCAAAACCTCAAACGAAATTTGATGATCATACCCTACATTGTTTTTTTGTTTTTGTTTTTCATGTTGAGCCTTTGGAAGCTTAGATGTGATTTCACATGACCACATTCCAGTGCTGGGTGACCTGTGTGGCTTCTGGCCAAGCAGATGACGTGATGTCACGGAATTAAGAGTGACAGGGGCCAGGCAAGGTCCTGCATCTCCTCTCCATTAACCTCCTGCGCTGTAGGGTACCCCATCTTAGAGTGGAAGAAACTGGAGGGTTAAGTAGCTTGCCTTGTGTTTGCAAGCCTAGGGAATAGTGGAGCCAGGAAGGTTCCTACAGTGGCATCCCAGAGAGGGTGGGCCTGCTTCCTACCTCCTCGCTAGGACTCCCGAGAAGAAATCCCAGCTTATTTGTGTCCCCAAGTCCCCTAGGAGACCAGAAGGAAACACACAGAATGGGAACAGCGTCAACTGTGAAGCCACTGAGCATTTTACCTCTGGAATTGTGGCTCCCCGCACCCCCGCACCCCCCACCCCCCGCAAACAGCGCCCCCTCTGGTAGCCTGTTAGAAATGCAGTCTCAGAGCTCAATCCAACCTACTGATTCAGAACCTGTGTGTCAAGAAAATTAACCCTCAGGATACCTGTGGTAGTCATCTTGGACACAGAAAATTCATGTCAGCTGGCCGTTTCTTTGGGCTTCTGAAAAGATACATCATGGTGAGGGCAAAACTGCTTACCTCATGGCTAGGAAGTGAAAAGAAGACAGGGCCCCACAGACCCCTTCAAAGACATGCCCCAATATCCTAAGGAGCTCCCCCTAAGCCTCACTTCTTAAAAGTCTTACCACTTCTCAACAGTGCCAAGTTGGAGACCAAGCCTCCAATGGGACAATTAAGATCAAGCTGTAGATATCCTCTATGTATATTAAGGTTCAAGAAGTGAACACAGTTCTTCATCTACTTTCTAGTTCACAAAGATCTCAGATGCCGGCTCCTTCCTAAAAGGCTGAGCTAGACAGGGCTTCCCACTTCAGGGTCCACCAGCTCCCTCTGGAAATCCCTCATACACCAGTGCAATGAGCCTGTGCATTCTGGGAATGGTTTAAGTTCTTCCTGGCCTCAAGGTTCTCCTGGGTCTCTTTCAGCTTGTCTGACCACGGAGACACGGAGGAATGAGAAGGTCTACCTCCCAGCCTCGGTAAGGACCCAGGGAGCCAAAGTGTGAGATCAACCCATCTGGATCTGAGGTCAGACTTCTGGGCCCATCTCTGTGCCCACCCAGAGGCAAAGCTTGCTCCCACCCTTGAAGGGATCTGTGGGAATCTGAAGATCGGCCCTTTAGGGTGTGAGCTCCATGGTGTGCCCATCAGCAGCCCTGATTCCCATCTGATATCAGGCAGGGTCACAAAAAACCAGGTGGGCATCTTTCCACCAGGCAGGTACCCTTTTCCCACATCGTTGAGAATCAGGGGACTTCAGTAGTGGAGCGAGACGGATCCCTATGGATCCTGGATCCAGTGTTTATCTCACCTGTCAGCAGTGTTGGAGATAGGATCTCCCAGGCTCTTGTAAGGCTGGGGCTGATGACCCCACAGCACACCAGAGTACAGGGGCCCCTCAAACGACTCCAGTGCACTTTTACAAATGAAACTGAGGCTCAAACTCACACAGCAGCACTCTGATTTCTCGATTCTTTTATTTATTATTTTATTTTATTTTCTGTGTATGAGTGTTTTGCCTGCATGTGTGTCTGTGCCCCACAATTGTGCCTGGTGCCCACGGAGACCAGAAGAGGGGTGTTGGATCCCCTGGAACAGGAGTTACAAGACAATTGTGAGCCACCATGAGGGTACTGGGATCCAAACCCAGGTTCCCTGAAGGAACAGCCAGAGTCCTCTTACCCATTGGGCCATCTCTCCAGCCCCAGATTTATCAATGCTTATTTTATCTCTCAGAACATTGTTTCTGGTTCCCCAGTGGTTCTGAGACCATGCTGCTCAAGGTTTGACTGCTCAAGGACCCAGTTGTGAGCAGTGCACCCAGGGAACCAGGTGGGAGTGGGGGTGGGGTACAGAGATCCCTCTGCCCATTTCCTGAGGAGCCAAGCTGTCCAACTTCCCAGGCCATTTGCCTGCGACTCCCCGGGGTGGGTAGTGCTGCAGAATTCTATTCAAGAAACAAAAATCCCACCTTGCCTTGCCTGATACCCTGCCCCGAAACCCACCCAAGTACTTGCTGAAGTATTTCCACTCTTATTCCTCTAAACATGGGGCCAGGAAGGGAAACTACAGTCCCCTTCTTTCCTGGCGCCAGAAAAGACAAAAGGCTCCAGGCAGATACCTAGAGGAGGGCTCAGTGGGAATGGGTTCTTCCTTGATTTAGGAAGCAGCTGTTGTTATCTCAGGAAGTGGGACAAGGCCAAAAGTGGCTAAGGGGAGTGGGAGAAAAGTCACAGGGATGGACCGCCACCATGGGCCACCTTCCGAGCTCAGCCTTCTGGCTGTTGTGGAGGCGGCTCATCAGGAGAGTGCTGGGGCTTAGCAAACCAGCCACAGTCTGGTGGGGGGCGGTCTCCTCACTGCTACCTCCTGCCCTTCCACTCTGGGCTGGACTGCTTCCAACCTGGGACACCTGCGCTCCTCCTGCAGAGGTAGGAAGGGACAAGAAAGAGCCCAGGGCAGTTTAAACAGAAGGACACTGAGTAGTAGCCGCTTTAGGCAGAAGGATAGAAGAGGGGACCTTGAAGGTCAGAGGCCACAGCCACCAGAGCATAGTAGCCAGCCGAAGACACTAGATTTATATTTCCCATTTGACTTTTTCAGTCTTCAGCAGAGGTTGGGGGAAGAAAAGGAGTGGTTGGGGATTTTCTTTTCTTTTGTTTCTTTTTGAGACAGGGTTTCTCTATGTAGTTTTGGTGCTTGTCCTGGAACTCACTCTGTAGACCAGGTTGGCCCTCAAACTCACAGAGATCTGCCTGCCTCTGCCTCCCCAGTGCTGGGATTAAAGGCGTGCGCCAACACCGCCCAGCCTGGGGCTTTTCTTTGCATACATTCATGTCAAAGCTGAAAGAGGACACTTGTCCTAGAAGAGAGAGAGCCAAAGGACATGGAGGATGGCACATACCTGACATCCAGCACTCTCGGGCTAAGGAAGGAGGATTCTGTTCAAGGCAAGCCTGGGGTACACATGACGGAGACACTGGTGACAGCAGGTGGTGAGGGCTTGACCCCTTGTCCTTTCTGTCGGGGCAGGCAGTATTATTCCTCTGTTTTATAGACATAGCAACAGGGGCTGGGAGAGGGTAATTCTATGCCCACAGTAACCCAGCCTGAGAAAAACAGAACTAGAGAAAACTATCCGAGGTCTGCGAGGCTGGCTGCAGAGCCCTGTGTCTTCCGTCCTCTACACTGAAGCACAAGGTTTGGAGGAATCCAGCCATGTGTACTGCCCAACGCTGGTCCCTCAGACTCCAGAAAAGGAACTATCCTTCATCCCTAGGCATGGATAGCCACAGACCAAGTGTCTCCTGTGCTGTTTGTATTTGGTGAATCTTTGAGGCCCACAAAAACGAGCAGACAGCTTGTTCTGTCTGGTTACAAACAAAGAAATAACATGATTAAAACAGACCATTCCAGAAGTTCTCGTTCACTGGGTGGTAAGACGCTGTCTGGAGACTGCAGATGCAGCTCCCTTAGTAGAGTGCTTGCCTAGCGTGCAAGAAGCAAGCCAGCATAAACTGGGTATGGTGGTGCCAGCCTTCAACAAGGAAGCAACATGAGGCTCAGAAGTAAGTTCAAAGCCATCCTCAGCTACATAAGGAATTCAAAGCCAGCCTAAGAAGCATGAGACCCTGCCTCGGGAAACAAACAAAGCCAGGCCTGGTGACGGGAAGCTCGGGGATCTCTGTGAGTTCAAGGTCAGCCTAGTCTACATAGCAAGTTCCAAGTCATTCAGGGTTACATAGTGAAGTTCTGTCTTTAAAAGTAATGCTATCAGCCGGGTGGTGGTGGCACACACCTTTTTTTTTTTTTTTTTTTTTTCGTTTTTCGAGACAGGGTTTCTCTGTGTAGCTTTGCGCCTTTCCTGGGACACGCTTGGTAGCCCAGGCTGGCCTCGAACTCACAGAGATCCGCCTGGCTCTGCCTCCCGAGTGCTGGGATTAAAGGCGTGCGCCACCACCGCCCGGCCGGTGGCACACACCTTTAATTCCAGCACTCGGGAGGTAGAGCCAGACGGATCTCTGTGAGTTTGAGGCCAGCCTAGTCTACAGAGTGAGATCCAGGACAGGCACCAAAGCTACACAGAGAAACCATGTCTCAGGAAAGAAAAAAATAATAATAATGCTATCTGGATTTTATGATCCTGAGAAGAAACATATATTCTCATTTTATAGCTAAGGAAACGAGCTCCTCAGAGTTTCTAGCTTGCCAAGGTAACACCCAGGTGTAGGAAGTTATGTGTCCCCAGAACTGTGTCCTTCCTCTTGGCTTAACTCCAGACTATGCTGCTAAGAATAGACTTTTCTGAGTTCTGACCAAGTCTCTCGTACAGCCGCCAGGGAACAACTGGGTGCCTGAGGATGCCATGATCAACCTCGAGGCGCCTCCCGAGTGTCTCAGCAACCCCAAGCCCTCTGCGCCCTCCATGGAGACCCAGCACCTCAGTCAGGTGTGGACAGAAGGGCTCTGGAACCCATGCTATCTGACACCACTGAGATCATGGGGACAAGGCAGGGAGGGCTCTTTCCCCAGCATCCTCTTCCCCAGAAGCTCCACTCCAGCCTCTGTCCATCTAGCCTATCAGAGCCGTAATAAGCCTAGGTCATTTCACCCAGGCTGGAAACTTCATATTCTCCTCTTCCCTGTTCAGAAAATTCTTTACTAGTGTATTGGGTGTCCATTTAAAGAACTCTCAGCTGAACCGAGCATCGAGGTGCGTGCTTGTAATCCTAACATTTGGGGGTCTGTGATCAAAGGGAGGAGCTGGGGTATTAGGAACCAGTCTACAAGGTGAGACCCTGTCTCAGAAAAGCATACACCACAGACAAGAGATGAGATGGCTCGGGGAGGCTCTGCTAGGGTGGAGACCTCACCACCAGGTTCTCCTTTTCAACCTCCCCATCATCTCTCCAGACTACAGAGGAAAAGGCAGCCCCTTCCCTGGACGCCAAGGAGGATGTGACGGCAGCTTCTCCCCTGCAGATGTCTGCTGAGGAACTGGCCTTCTCCGAGTTCATCTCTGTGTAACTGCGGAATGACAAGTGAGCAGGATTCCTACACTTGGGCCTGGTGGATCCTCCGCTCCCTCTAGCCCGGAGAGTCCTCCTTCCTTCTCTCTGTCACTGTGGGTTCTCCTAGAGCTCTGACCATGACACCATGACCCCAGCAAGAGCTCCCTGATACCTCCGTGGTCAGGCACACAGTGGAGGCCATGGAGGCGGCCAGTCCAGGGATTGGCTGTCTTTCCTTCTCCTTCCCCATGCCACTGTATACCTAGCTTTGGAAGGACATTGGAGGAAGGTTCCTTATCGTCTCTGTCCAGAAGGGCTACTACTCCATGGGCTCTGGAGACTAAGGGAGGGAACCAGAGTAGGGCGGTCAGCTGAGAGGAGAGTTGGGGCAGGAAGAAACTAGACCCTGGTTACGAGAGGATAATGCTAAATCCAGGCCAGCCGGGTAACGGGAAGATAGACTGGCACAACTATTTTTTCCCCCTTTTTCTATTTTGTTTTGAAAAACGGCATGCTGGGAAGCGAAGTGCTCAGCATATAAAACATAAAAATAGGGAAGAAAGACGAAAAGGAGGAAAGTGCTGTTAAGGTCGTCTATAACCTTACCAAGCCCCGTTGACATCCCTGAGTGCACTTGCCTGGACCCCTCCTCCCTCTTCCTTCATGTGTTTTGCGGCTGCTCACTTCACAGAGGGGCCGTCCCACTGCGCACTGCATGCCGCCCTCCCCATCTTATCCCATCCTGAGCAATCCCTCTGTGTCCTACAAACCTTGTACAATAAACTGTTTCTCAGCTGCATAATGTTTCAGCATATGGGTGTGCCTCAGTTTACCCAACCCGTTCTCTGTCACTAGCTGTTTAATTTGCAGGGTGAAACTTTGTGCAGGGGCTTTAGCTGCTACTGGAAATCTCTAGGAGGCTTTGCACGTGTGGAAACAGGTGGTTCTGGGGAAGAAAATGTTTTCCTTTTATTCTCTTCTTTTTCTAACCTTCCCCCTTCCCGAGGTCCTTCGCTTCTCCTCTCGCTCCGTCCTCTCCTAACCTTTCCTGGAGGGGTGTCTTGGTAGCTCAAGAGTTTGCTGTGCAAGCAAGAGGACCTGAGTTCAGGCCCCTTGGAAAAGCATCACTGTGAGTCTGTGACCCCAGTGCTGGAGCAGAGGAGGATGGTGAATTCCAGGAGCACATTAGCCAAAACATCAACCTGCAGACTCAGTGAAAGACCATGTCAAAACCTAGAGGAAGACACCCAGTGTAGACCTCTGGCCTGTACAGGTACACATGGTCAAGTGAAAACACACACACACACACACACACACACACACACACACACACAGAATCTGTACCTACAAGAACACAGGACATGCAACTCCATTAATACATTAAAAATTGGGATAAGCAGTGATCCAGTCAAATAGCAGACAACACCCAAAAAGTTCATCCAAAGTGGACTTTCCAACCTGACAGAGTAGTACAGACCTGTAATCCCAGTATTTAGGAGATGAGGGAGAAGAGTTCCAAGTTCAAGGCTAGTCTTTGCTGCATGATGAGACCCCACCTCAAAACGCAACATAAATTAAAGCATGCTGGTGTTTAAGAGTAACTGATGGAAAAGAAACACATCTGAGATATATATATATATATATATATATATATATATATATATATATATATATCTCACAATTGCTATGTGTCAATTTTAAAACTATATTTTAAAAAGCTAGTAACAACAACAAAACAAAACTCAGGCCGGGCGGTGGTGGCGCACGCCTTTAATCCCAGCACTCGGGAGGCAGAGCCAGGCGGATCTCTGTGAGTTCGAGGCCAGCCTGGGCTACCAAGTGAGTTCCAGGAAAAGGCGCAAAGCTACACAGAGAAACCCTGTCTCGAAAAACCAAAAAAAAAAAACAAAAAAACTCAGGCATGGTGGTGCACGCCTTTAATCCTAGGAGGCAGAAGCAGGTGGATCTCTGTGAATTCCAGGCCAGCCTGGTCTCCAGATACCTTCATGCCAATTGGAAGCTAAAAAGAAGTTTCCTCAGTCCCAAAAGTGTGGCAAACACGGACCAACTGTGGTCAGCAAATTCGCCCTCACTCAGCCACAGTACAGAGGAAGACTACATTTCCCAGCCTTCCATTCAGTTACCCAGAACCCAGCTGGAGACCTAGGTTCTGCTGTACAAGTGGCCATTGCACACAGGGACAGCCTCAGAGAATCTGCAGTGATAATGCTGGGATGGTGTACCACGCTTCCCTCCTGAAGAACTCCAGGTGGAAAGGATGTTGATCCCCTGGACTACACACACCTCTGCGGTGGCAACATCTGGGAGATGTAATGTTGTTGTTGTTGGGATCTAAAGAGTAACATTTCGGTGTCTTCTACTGCCGCTGGGTGAGCACCTAGAACCCATGAGCATTATCACTGAGAGACCGTGGCACTTTTACAGAGGATGAAGCCAAGGTCTTGGGAGGTAGGGGCATCTGCCGAAAGCCACACAGGTTCCACGTGGAGTCATGTGGCCTGGCCATGGAGACCCTGAGTCCTTTGCCCCCCTGATGTTCAACAGCTCCCAGGCATAAGCACTTAGATACAGCACAGAGGGGCAAGGTAAGAGAGAAAGATGCCATAGTCAGTCCATCTTCCATTCTAGAATTATTAGGTTTCAAACCCACGACAAATGGCTAAGGTGCCTATTTAGCATATCAAAGAGGACACTGGCTGCCAGGTTCTCCCTGCACCCCTCAGTCCTACCTGTTGTTACAGGGCCCTTCTGGCTGGCATACCCCACCCCCTACCCTGAACTCTCCATCCCAGGGGGCTGAACTGCTCTTCCCTATACAATCTAGTCATTTTGGTTACCGCTTTTTGTCTTTTGGGCCTCCTAGCTGCTGCACCTGGTTCCCTTCCCTCCCCTCCCTCTCTTCCCCTCCCCCCCTTCACATGGCACAGCTCAGTCTGATCACATCCACGCTGGACTCTCCCCGATGTCCCTGTCCTTGCCTCTGGCTAGGCTCTCCCACATATCTATAATAAACCTTCTCCTCCACCATACCACGTTCTTTCCTTTTCCTTTTTCTTCTCTTTTTTTAATTCATCTATCTGTGCTGTATTCCCTAACCCTCACCTCCCCAAACCATCTACTCAACCCCCCAATCAAAGACAAACAGAGCCCAGAAACGTTTGCTTCCACATTTAATCAAAGGAAAAGAAAGAAAATTTAAGCCTGAGACGGCTGGTGGGGGGAACAAAGGAAGGGGAATGGGCTGAGGGTGGACCATGGCGGGGGCAGGACCCTCCTTCTCCTGAGCTCCTCAAACAGAAGAGGCCACGGTGGGAGGGAGGGCGGGCAGAGTCACAGAGCTAGCTTGGTGAGCACGAATGTGTTCTAACCCAGCCAGGTGCCAGGTGAGCGGAGGAGGCTTCCAGCCTCTATTCTCACCTGGCCAGTGCTTGGGAAGGGGTGTAGAGCGGGGCTCAGTGGGAGAGGTAGGAGGCTGTTCGGAGAGGAGGGGCCCAGCCCTGCCCTTGCACGTGGCTAGGGAAGAGGTGAGGTTTTCTACCACGCTGGGTATCCAGACGGAAAGGATGGTACCAACGCTCCAGCATGGTGCCCACCAGATGTCTATCAGAGGCCATGGTCTTTTGGTCAGAGGGCTTTGTGGGTAAATCAAGAGGGATCAGGGACTGCTCTGACCCTACACACTCGGCCTCCAGGGGAGGATGGAACTGGAAAGTAGGGAAGTAAGCAGGGAAATTTCTCTCCCACTACCAGGCCCCTTAGGCTAAGTAAGGGTCAGGGTCACAGCAAGATGCTGAGCTGGAGAAAAGGACCTTGACTAAAGGGAAACAAAGCTGGGAAGATGTCTGCACAGAGTGAGGCAGAGCTATGCAAATGAGCAGCAGTGGGCAAGGCCACCTCTAGTCTCATTTACATATCCAATGCCGATGCAAATGAGATTCCTAATATAATAAATATATTTCTAGCATTTGTAATAAATATTCTGTTTATTTTCCCTCCCTCCCCTCCCCTAGGAAATGGGCACACAGTGGTTCAGGGGCCAGCTCGGGCTGACATTCCAGCCAAGACTGACACTCAGGAGAACTGGGAGGCACAGGGTGGGGGTGCTGGGGGTCCCCTGACAGGACAGGGGCCTCCTCAAGAAAGATGCAGGATGAGATGTCTCCAGATGTCAAGGACAGAGTTCTTAAAAGGATTATCCTATTTTACAAAAATCACCCTCTCTGAGGACTAAAGGCTGGTACTTAGGGTAGGGGACAGCAGGGGAGCAGAGAAGGCCCAGGCTCTGGGGTCTGGAGTAGGGGCTTGTAAGAAATGGTGGGCTGAGGGGAACCTATAAAGGGACCTCAAAGAGCCACCTCCAAGAGAAAGCAGTCCTCTGCCTCCCCTCAAACCAAACCAAATCCGTGCATATGCATGTGCACGTACAACACACACCCCAAGACCAGAAACAGGGACCAGCACCACAGCGGGCAGAGCTACACACTGCCCAGCCTGGAGTGCCAATGCACCCCCTGGAGTTGTGTGGCAAGTGCTACCAAAGCTAATCTGTCTGTTTCCAAGCCCTGACGCACAGTCTCCTTTCCCTCAGGCCCAATCGAGTCAGCCCTAATGCCAGTGAGCCTCCTACATCATCCAGAGACCAGCCGGAAGCGAACGAAGCCTGGTGTGGGCTGGGGATCCTGGAGTGCTTTTGGTCCCAACAACAGAGGGTTCAGCTTTCTAGGCCCTATTCCCAACCTGGGCTAAGCCAGTCACACTGTTTGGGGAGCAGGGTTTATAAAAGAGGGACACATTGAGAAAGTCCGTGGAGAGACTTTGGCAGTGAGAAGCTGGGAATAAGGGAGGGACCAGGCTACGTTTGCCCCTCGAGTAGCTGAGGCCTGTGTTACCAGTTGCTACAACTGGTTCACGACGGGGCTCCCCCAGCCTCTAAAACGGCCCAGACTGACACTACTGCCCAGGTCTGCCTAGTTACCAGTGGTCTGACCACATGAGAACAGCCCAAGGCTGATCCAAGGACTAGATATAGTAAGGGGTGGGAGGGGCCAAGGAACAGGGTGGGTGTGGCCAGAGGAGAAAAGGCTGGCAGGGTCATCGACCTACTGACCACAAGGCCCCAAGCAGCTCCACTCCTCTCTAGACTGAGCATTACAGTGACTCTGAGATGCTCCTGGACACAGCCTGACCCTTAGAGAGGGACATCGGGAGTGGGCAGCACCTGGGTACGGAGGTACCCCATGAACACCCGCCTCCCTGGCAGTGCACACCTCTGTACTGAAGCCAGCCCCTGCTGGGAACTGTGATCCAGGGAAAACCAGAGATGGGGGGGATGAAGATCATATTCGGGGGTAGGGGAGTGTCATAGGTGGGGTGAAGGATGGATTCCCAACCAGGCAGGGAACAAGGTCCAGAGCAGGGCTCAGTACACCCAGCTGACAGGCACCCATTGGGGCTCTGTTCGAAGCTTCTCCATGGCAGCCTGGAGCTCACGGAAGGTCCTCTCCAGGTTGCTGTTGACCAGGCTGAGGTCAAAGTAGTGCCCATATCCCCTCTGGATGCGGCTGCTCTCCTCCACGGTCCGCCTCAGATCCGCCTCCTGCCCCGCACAAAGGGCTTCGGTCAGTGCCACCAACTCACCAGAGGGGTCTGCAACCTGCCTACCTCACCCCAAAGCCCAGCCACAGTGGTATAGAGTCCCTGTGCCCCACAAGGCTGTGCTCCTGCACCAAGCTTGGATGAAAGGGAGGGAGGGAGGGAGGGAGGGAGGGAGGGAGGAAGAGCTGTAGTGACAAGTAGGGCACTAATCATTCATCAACCCACAGGCTCTTCACCACAGCTCCACACAGGAGGATCAATTTTCTCCCATTAATAACACAAAGCCCAGCTACCAAGAGGTCACTGTGAGCCTATGGCTCAGGCATCTGCCTGACTCCAGCCAGGGTTTCAGTCCCACCAAGGCCCCTCGCCACAGCTATGAAGTGGCATCAGAACTTACCTGGTACCAGGATGATTCCACAAACGAACAATTTCCACCCCAGACTTGAAGGAAGCTCCCTCCCTCCCTCCCGCCCTCCCCCCCTCCCTCCCTCCCTCCCTTCCTTTCTTCCCTCCATCTGGAACTGGATGACTGACGAAGCTGAGGGCAGCCGGGTCCCAGAGGCTCTGGCCACATCTGTTGCTAGGGCCATGGTGCCTAGAGCTGGCATCAGGTCATCAGAGGATGCAAGCCCCACCCAGATAGCCTCTGTGGAGCAGAGGCGCTGTAGTATCGGGCGTGGGGCAGGAAGAACCTTGAGACCAGAGCTCAGCAAACCCTATTCCTGGGGGAACGCTGTATCAAGGTCCAAGTTTCCTCCAGAAGTTTCCCCTGGCCATCTCTGTTCCACAGATTTCCCACTGGCCCTCCGAAGAGTGCAACCCATCCTAGGCCTGGGGTCCAAGTTCCGTGTCCCTGGCTCCGTCTGAGACGCTGGGCACTGTGTTCCTTTCTCAGTC